TCCTGGGATGAGGGGAGGTGAGCTTGCAGAGATGTTGCAGTTGCAGAGTTTTCTCCCGTCCCTGGGGGAGGTGGCTGTGGCTCCACTGGCCCAACACACTAGGGGCGTGGTCGCCATCGGTCCCGCCTACTGCAGGCCGATGGGTTGGTTGCCGGACCATTAGCCGAGCAGCCTGGTGCTCATCAATATTTTATGGAAAGACCGGGCCTTGGGGTCTGGAACTGTGGGGGGCTGGGGGAGGCAAAGACTGGATTTTTTTTTCCATTTCCGATTGTCAGCTCTATTTTTACCTCCGGAAGCTGGCGCCCCCTCCCCCCTGGGTCTGTGTCTGGCTGGCTCTCCGTGGGGGTCCGTCTGGCTGCGGAGGGAGGGACAGACCCCAGTGCCATGGGGGCTGAGCCCTGGATCACTTCCTTTGTCTTGCCCCTGGTCCCAGTGGGATGACAGCTGACAGTGGGATGTCAAAAGACTCTAGGACCCTTCTTCAGAACCAGGGGCCCTGCCGGGGCCTGGTGACTCATGTCTGTCATCCTAGCTACTCAAGAGGCTGCAGTCTGAGGATTGAGGTTTGAAGGCAACCTAGGCAGACCTATCTCTGACACATATTTTTTGATAACCAACACAAAGCCTGAAGTGGAGCTGTGGCTCAAGTGGTACAGCACCAGCCTTAAGTGAAAAAGTCCAATCAAGAGTTCTGGGTCCTTTGCTTGGGTGCTGAGCCTGGAAGCTGGAGCTAGCATCTCCCCATAGTGACTCACCCACCTCTTCTAGCCCCCCAGGGGCCACTGGAGCAGGGCTGAGACACCACAAAAACAGAAGGGTCCAGCCGGGCGCTGGTGGCTCACGCCTGTAATCCTAGCTACTCAGGAGGCTGAGATCTGAGGATCGCGGTTCAAAGCCAGCCCGGGCAGGAGAGACCGTGAGACTCCTATCTCCAATAAACCACCAGAAAACCGGAAGTGGCGCTGTAGCTCAAGTGGTAGAGCGCTCGCCTTGAGCTGAAGAGCTGAAGGACAGCGCCCAGGCCCAGAGTTCAAGCCCCATGACCGACAAAAAAAAAAACAACAAAAAACAGAAGGGTCCAGAATCACAGGGCCCCAGCAGCCCTGCGGGGAGGGTCAGCACAGGGCAGGCTCTGGGAAGAAGAGGGCCAGGTGTAGTCTGAAAGTAGAGGAGTACGCAGAGGCTGAGGAGGAGAGCTGAGCAGGCAGAGATGGGAGGAAGGGGTGGGTTCAGTTTTCAGAGTTTCCAGGCTCCCCCCACAGTGGGGACAGAGTGACTCCTTCCACCCTGCTTTTTCCCCAAAGTGACTGGGCATCAGCCCGGCTGGACAGGACATGCCTACTGTACACTGTGCTCCCAGAGATTGGGGAGCCATGTCTACAGCTGCAGGTGGATTAGACCTTTACAAAATCCCTTCTCAGGAGGCAGAGAGAGAAGAATTGTGGTTAGAGGCCAACCTGGGGCAAAAGTTAGATCCTATCTGAAAAACATGACAGGTATAGCAGTGCATGTCTGTGATCTAGCTACTGAGGAGGCTGAGGTAGAAGGGTTGACCTCTGAGGCCAGCCTGGGCCACAGCACAAGACTCTCTCTGAAAAATTAAAGGAGTGGGCACGTGGCTCAAATGGCATGGGTACCTGCCTAGCAAGCACCAAGCCTGAGTCCCCAATGCCCTGAAAGACTAAAAAGAAAAAAAAAAAAGTAGTTGCAGAGTTCACCTCACTTCCAGGAAGCGGTGTCCTAACTTTTCCATTTTCGGGGAAAAGCACACTCGGAGATTGGAGTGCGGCCAGCATCTGTCTTTCAGGGAGTCAAGGGTCAGACCTTAAGCCCAGCTCCGCCAGGATCTGTGCACTTGGTGCTCTCTGTTCCCTTCCCACGGGCATTTGGGCCTGCATCAGTCTAAGCATTTGAGCTCTACATGGAACTGTAACTCCACTTGAAAGTTTTCTTCTTTCCAGTACTGAGGATTGAATTCAGGACCACTAGTTTGCCTTCTTCCTCCACTCTACCACTGGAGCCAACCATACCTTCACCCTTTTGCTTTCAGTTTTTTGCTTTTCCTCAGATAAACTCTCCAGCTTTTGCATGTTTGCCCTGGCAAGCCTGGAACCATGATCCTTCTATCTTCACCTCCCAGATAGCTGGGATTACAGACATGCACTGCCACACTTGGCCTGGAGGTATTTCCCCTCTGGGCACTCCATCATTTCTACCTGTGTAGCCAGTGTAGCCAGCCCTGTGCCAGCCTTCCAGGTGGCTAAGGAGGGTCAGGGAAGACCCCCCTGTCCCCCCCCCATCATTCCTTGCCCAGGTGTGACTACAAGAGCCAGTCTTGGTAGAAGACTTGTTGAGTCTTACCCCAACTTGCAGAGAGCCATAATGAAGCCCCTGCCTGGGACAGTTGCCCTGGCCTTTCTCTCTGCCAGGGGAAAGCAGGGAGGGCCAGGGGTTGGTGCTGGGGCCAACTTCCTGCCTTCATTCTCTGCCTCAGGGGCAGCCATGCCTACCTTCCCAGCTCTACTCAGTCCAGCCCCTGCTGGTACAGGATGGGGGGAGAGGGGAGGGGCTGCCGGGTGAATGAATAGGCTTGGAGCCCCACCCCCACCCCATGACTGGCTTCACAGAGAATGGGAATGGAACTGGAAATAGACTCCAGGGGTACCCGCACAGCTGCTGGAGGGCCACACAGGAGGGAGCTGTGAGCCCACAGGAGATGCTTTGCCAGCCTGGGCAGGAGAAGCTGGGAGGTCTGCCCGGAGGAAGCATCTCCTGGACTAACTATGGAAGAGAGACTAGGAGGTAGAGCAGGGCAGGAGGAGGGTCAGATCTGAGCAAAGCTCTTCCACATCTTCATGAACGCTGGCCTCCAGTGTCCTGAGAAGTCCTCCCACCTCCTGGAGGAAACTCCCTGACCCCTCTTGTCCTGCTCTGGTCCCGAGGAGGGTCTCTGGGGAGCTCTCCCCATATGAAAGCCTCTCCTAGGCTAGCCCTCCACCCCTGGTTGATCCTGTGATTGTTGACAGCTGATCCACAGCCTGAGCTGCCCCAAGGAGAGAGGGAATTCCTATGGTGCCTTGGAGCCCAGAGGCCTTGCCATGATCTCAGGAAGTGGGGCGGCTATTTTTACCTGGTGTTTAATTACAGTGCTTGGCTCCCACAGAAGATTGGAGATCCTAGGATTTTTAATTTTTATTTTTCCAGGAGCCAAGAGGGAGGGGCAGGTCAGGAGCTGAGACTCTGGGAAAGTAGGTGAACAGCAGCTCCTCAAAAAAAGGGTCTTTCCTGGGTCCAGTGTGGTGGTTCATGCCTATAATCACAGCTACTTGGAAGGGAATGTTATGAGGATCTTGGTCTGAGGACAAGATGGGCGAAAGCTCAAGATCCTCTGAAAAACTAAATGTGAAGGCACTGGGGCATGGCTGAAAGGTAGAGCACTTGCTTGCTAAGCACAAGGTCCTGAACTTGATCTCTAGTGCTTAAAAAATAAAATCAGTGTTGACCCTCAGACAAAGGGTTCCCAGGGCAGAGCCCCTTCCCTGCCTGTGCTCCCTGGGGTGAAGGTTGCCAGAGGAAAATGGAGAGGGGAGGGGTGCAGGACCCAGGGATGCTGATCACGTTGGGTGACAAAGACAGAGTCCCCAGTGACTGACTGACACACTGAGGTGTCCTGAAACACTGTGTCCTCCCAGCACTGGGGAGGCTGAAGCAGGATAAGAGTTCTAGGGCTGGGAATGTGGCTTAGTGGTAGAGTGCTACCACAGAAAAGGACAGAAGTGGCGCTGAGGCTCAAGTGGTAGAGTGCTAGCCTTGAGCAAAAAAAAAAAAAAAAAAAAGTTCCAGGCCAGCCTGGCTTTAGTGGCTCATGCTTGTAATCCTGGGTACTGAGGAGGCTGAGATCTGAGGATCTCAGTTCAAAGCCAGCCCAGGTAGGAAAGTCTGTTGAGACTCTTCCCTCCAATTAACCACCAAAAAAGACAGAAATGGAGCTGTGGCTTAAGTGGTAGAGTGTTAGCCTTGAGCACAAAAGCCCAGGGATAGCACCTAACCCCTGAGTTCAGTCTGTAGGACTGACACACACAAATACACAAGTTCCAACCCTGAACTGTAATCCTAGCTGCTCAGGAGGCTGAGATCTGAACCTTAAAGTTCAAAGCCAACCTAGGCAGAAAAATCTGAGATTCTCATCTTCAATTAACCAGGAAAAAAAAAAATCCAGCTGGCTGTCGCCTGTAATCTTAGCCATTCAGGAGGCTGAGATCTGAGGATCCCCGTTCAAAGCCAGCCTGGGCAGGAAAATCCGTGAAACTCTTATCTCCAATAAAAACCACCAGAAAACTGGAAGTGGCACTGTGGCTCAAGCGGTAGAGCATTAGCCTTGAGCTGAAGAGCTGAGGGAAAGCGCCCAGCCCCAGAGTTCGAGACCCCCACAAAGAAAAAACAAAACAAAAATTCAGTTCCCTCGGTGGATGAAGACATTGCTGAGGTCGAAGCCCTTTTTATATACCTCCATCCGGTGGAGCATGTGATCAAGATTAGGCAGAACACCCTGTCTTGGTCACCAGGAAGCTCTATGCCCTGGGCCTGGCAGGGTCAACCATGGCACACCAGTGTCACATCATGTAGTCATATCGCTCATTCCATTGAGCACTTGAGGTTGAGTCCAGCCGGGACGCCACTGCCCCCCCCACACACTGTCAAGATCCGGTCCTGCCTCGTGGAACTGGCACTTCCACCCGAGCAGGTTCACAGCCTGGGATGGCAGTAGAAGTGGGTGGCAGGCCAGGAGTGCCAGGACCCGGGCTGGCCAGAGCTGGTGTTTACCACTGGGCTATACAGTGGTGGGTCTGGGCTGTGGGGCAAGAGTAGCTTTTGGGCAAAATCCGAAGGAGGCTTGGGAAAGCCGGGCCTGAGCACCACCCCAGAGGTGGAAAGGGGATTGGGGAGGCGGGACAGGCGTGGGGAGGTGGCGCAGTGACCCTCTCTTGTGCCCAGCTGCAGGGAGCTGCGATGGGAGCGGAGCCATGAATGGTGCGAGCCCCGGCGGCGCCCGCAGCCCGGCCCGGATCCCCGACTGGCGGCAGTTCTGCGAGCTGCAGGCGCAGGCGGCCGCCGCGGACTTCGCGCTCGAGTTCTGCCGCTTCCTG